AACCCTGCGATGGACTAGTATCCCATCCAGGGGGGAGTAGAAATACTCCTAGTCGCTTCATGCTACAGAAACCGGGATAAGCTCTGGCCTGATGGACCGCATAGCTTGTATGCAGACTTCACCTTTTACCTGTGCAGGCTTACGACGTTTTAGAGCCGCTTCAGCGTTCGTAAAATGTAAGTCTGCGTAACAAGCGGTATTCTCGCGCGCGGCGGAAAAATATGAATAGCTCCCAGCAAGACAGACTCCTGAAATTCCATGCGGAACACACAGTGGTCTCCCGAAAATGGTACATACATTTTTATTGGTATACATATATGTGCAAGATATATACAAGTTATTCATTGGTTAAAAAGCGGAATGCGTTTGTCTGTACTCTTCGTTGAAGGCGTCATATGGCGTCAGTGGAGCAGATGCGTTCTCACGTAAGTTTATAAACCTTATAGCTTTGTACTACTTTTGAGCTTTGCCTCAGCTTATACACGTAGCCCGCGTACCAGGCGCTCAAAAAATGCTAGGGAGCGATTGGGAGCGGTAAGCGAGTGCAATTACACGCAAGCGGCGCGGAAACCTCCTCTTACGTTTTGCAACCGCTCCGAACTAGCGCCCTATTATTATTACAAGCGCTATTTTTACTCGAGACGGTCTGTCGCGCAGACTATTTAAGATGTCAACTGGAAGAAAAGTGAAGAAAGGCTTTCCAATTTAATAGCAATTCCAGCAAAATCATCTTAACAGTACTTCAATTAGCTGTCCTTACGTTAACGCGGATTTGAAGTGTGAAACTGGCTGAAATCTTGTTCAGGTAACAAAAAAGGTCCCTAATATTACCGAGGTGGTCACATTATATAACCGGGTTGTCGTCAGGGTGGCCGCGAAATTGCCGTCAACAGTCATATAAAGTACCTGACCAGAGGCAGAGATGAAACTACGGGGGAAATAATCAGTGATGGGGAAAAACTGATCTACAAATTAAAAAGGAGAGTTCAAGTATCCATTATTAAGTAAAACATGTTTCTTGAATATTAAAAAATTGCAATGAATAAAACTCTTTCCTTCCTCTTTGTTTCAAACCGAACAAAAGAAAATCTACAGAGCTCTGGAAACCTTTAAGTTTTTTCCCGCAAAAATCATTGCGTTGAAATAATCATTGCCTTGAAAAACTCTGAAACTTAAATGAACTCATCGAAGATATTTGTACCGACTAAGAGTAGCAATTTTATAACATTGCAAGAGGAAATTGATCAAAAATGTGGTAGAATTATGTACCCCACCACGCTGGGCCGACTTAACTTTTGGTTGAACAAGGTATACGAGCTCAGTACAACATGGCGAAAACAATCATAAGTACAACCTTAAAAAGCATTGCCATGGCAACGTCAACGTTAGCATCGCTGACCACTTTGTCCCTGGTATCAAACTGTACTTGCGCCAGTTTAGGATAGTAATCATTCCAGAAAGCCATTCGGCGAGGAGCAAACGCCGCCGCCATCTTGGGATGAACGTCAACTCGCAAGTAAGCTCTGTGACTGCTGTTGTACCTCTCCCACGTAACACCGCTGACTGGCTGGGGTGTTGGATCGCCGCTCTTGGCGAAGTTTACGTACAACTCCATTAGGAACAAACTGACGTTTCTATCGCCTGCGTCAAAATCTGACGAAAGACCAGGGTAGAACGGGTTTCCAAACTCGTAAGGTACATTAGCACCATGGACCACACCCATCCACTCCTTGTTCTTATTTCCTTTTGTTCTGCGATGTGCGAACTCGTACATGTACACCGGAGCAACTGTGCTGTGAATGTTGGCGACCTCGTGACCTGGTGCAAAGTACAGATAATCACCAATGAAGTCAACAAGTTGGCTTCTTAGTGCGTATTTATTACTGCTGTCTGGCCATGGTGTGTACACGAACTCAAATGCGTCCGCGAAGAGGTCGGCGGTTTCTTCACTAAGAGAGACAATGATTTGTTGGTTTAGTAATGACATGTTTAACAAAGTCAAAACGGCGTCTTCAATGAGTAAAGGTGTTGGGAGAAGAGTTGGCTCTCCGGAAATGAGCACAAATCCCAACTAGGAATTTCTTTTCTGACGGGGGGGGGGGGGGGGGGGGGGGTAGGTTTGGCCCCTACGTGAACAGAAAACTACATCGGCAAGATCCCAGGCAATATTAGAATAACAGAGCTACAGAAGACCGTCCTCCTTGGAACTACTCACATACTTAGGAGGACTCTATCCATCAAGTAATCCAGNGGGGTGGGGAGCGGAGAGAAAAGAAAGACAGGAGCGAAGACTAACTTTCTAAAACCAGCATCGGGAGCTAGCCTCGAGTCGTGAGCATTTCGACTAAAATCGAGAAAGTTTTGTTAGTATTTCTGTCCGTGCCATGATACAGCCATCAGATTTCGTCCTCTCGTTGCTACTTTTCTGTATCACGTGTTATAGCTGGTGAGATCACATGAGCAACGTATTAAAAAGGCTTACAAGTAAGGACGGACCATTATTTTTGAGGGGGAGGGGGTTGAGCAATTACTAAAAAAAATCCTGTTCAGCCAAAACTGCTGGAAAAAAAATCGTGCAAGGGAAGCCACGGGGAAAAAAATAGAGCATTTGCCTTCTACTAACCTGGGACTCGTTTCTGGAAGGTCGCCAATAGTTTTCGAAACCGGAAAGCCCTAGCAAAATCTCAGACCTTATGTTCACAAAGCTGTTTTATTCATACTCTGTTTTATTCATACTCTTAATATGAACAGAGGTTCCCTTTGTACAGGAAGTTTCAGACGTATACACCTCTCAGTTTTTAGATGCAGATTAACTAAAAATGGCTTTACGGGCCCGAAAAGTTTCCGGAGCTTTCGAGAAACGAGTCCCAGTTCCTGTATTTGGCTCAAAAATATTTTTCCATCGGATATTGCACACGAAAACAAATCATGAACAACCTAAAGGCGAGAAAAAAAGACTCATGATCCAGAAAATTGCCCAACGTGCCCCCCTCTACCCCCACCTCCACTCCTCAAAAAATCACGGTCCGCCCCTTATCTTTTTTCGCCGAATTAACCATCGATATTTTAATAGACCGTTCACTGAGATCTATGCCGGAGTGGAGGCGACTCACCTGCTATTTCGAGTGTGCGCAAACTTGGTTACAAATTGCTTGAAGAATGACGAACTCACTCCGTTGTCCACATTTTCTGTCAATCCAAAAGACGATCTGGAATGAGGCCCCAAAAATGTCCCTCCCTCCTGACTGTTAAAACTGATCATTAGTTTCAGTTTCTTGAAATTTCCTTTTTCGCGAAGATTTCGTGTTTCGTCGAGAAGAAAGTTGTCGTCCACGACTGGTGCCCACCGCAGATACCTATAGAACTGATGATCTGTTAAAGCGGAAGCATTCTGTATTTCCTCGCCTTTCTTACTGCGTATGCAGGCCACCATTGCGCTGTGGTCGCTTGTAGCACAATCCAGATTTTGAGCAAGCTCCTTAGCAAAACGTAGACCGTACGAAACAGGCTGAGTCGCAAAGGTGCTTAAATCTACTCCACTCTCTGCAATAGCTTGGTGAAAAAGACCTTTAGATAGAGGCGATAGAAGATGCAGGGATACGCTTGTTCCGCCAGCACTTGCTCCAAATATGGTCACCTTGCTGGGATCCCCTCCAAAGTTTTCAATGTTTTCTTTCACCCACTTCAGTGCTTCCACTTGATCCAACATTCCAAAATTCCCAGGGGCCGCAGAATCCCCGGTCGTTAAGAATCCAAATGGTCCGAGACGGTACTGGATCACAACTATCACCACCCCGTGTAGGGCTAAAATATCGCCGGGATAATAAACTGCAGTTCCCACTTCATAACCTCCACCAGGAATGTAAACCATCACAGGTAAACTAACACCAACGTTCGGAGAGTACACATCGAGATACAAACAATCTTCGCTGTATGAGAAATTTGGATCGTAGAATTTTATCAACTGCACTCTGTGCTTGCGTTGCCAACAAACGTTCCCATGTTTCTTCGCTTGGAGAACTTTCGGTTTCCATCCTTTTGGTGGTTCTGGTGCTTTTAGTCTGAGCTTTCCAACCGGCGGAGCGGCGAAAGGAACGCCAAAAAACTTGCTGACAGACTTGAACTGAGCCGACGCATTCGGGTACGAAGTCACAAGACCTTCGATGTCTCCATACTGTGTGGACACTGTAACTGACGAGACCAGAGGCAACCAAACATAGAATGCAAAGATTTTAACTTGTGAAGTCGAAATCATGGCGTTCTAGTCAACAAGGATTGTTTTCCTTTGTTTAGCTATCGGCTAATCTTTACCCAAGGCATCTACTATTTCATTCGTTTCACACGAATGCAGGATGACAGTCAGGACGGCTGATGAAACTGTCTGTACGCAGGCTTTTTTTTTTTTTTTTCTGTAATTCTGAAAGATGAACAGCTGAATTTGCGCGCGCTGGAAAAGATAACTGTTGATAACAGCCATCAGGCCTGACCGGTGTAGTTCACTGGTGTAGTTCAAGTAAATAAAAGAGGTTCCCCAAAAAAGAAATGTCTGTTTAATCACAACCACACCAGCGGTTCAAAAACATTCCCAAATTCACATCTGGCGTTAAAATTAGTTTATCTTGCCCTCAAAGAACGTTTTTGTCAACAAGAAATAAAATGAAGGTTTTCATCTGCTGAAAATGTGAGTCTTTGAATGATAATTGTTACTATATAGGTGGGGTTTAGTTAATCTACCGCGCGCTCCCATTCGTTGATTTTTGATTGCGAGGCAATGACTAAATCTAAATGTTACTCGGCGGGCTACTGGTTACTTTACAGTAAACTCCAGCTATATAACAAAACACTTAATCACTAGTCCCTTGGCAAACAGCTTAAAAAGTAACGTTAACTGTTTCCCTCGGGACCAGTCTACACGTGATGTGCCGTGAGTCACAGCTCCATTCATCCGGGGATATCTCATGTTGAGACAAATAACCCCGTAAACTCGAAATAGCGTTTCTCATGACTTTTGCCATCCATTTCTTACATTTCAAGTATTGAGGGTTTCGGTGCATAAAGGAGATGACCTTAGCTACTCGCATGCTTGAGGAGATAAGCCGTAGGCACGACGAAAAGATAGCGGTTAACAAATTGGAGAAAATGTAGACAGATTTTAACCTTGAGCGTGAGAATTACCCGAGCTAGGCATTCAGTCATTTATCTATCTTTAGTAATTTTTTTAACTCGAGCTATTTATACTTGAGTGGATGCCCATTCAGTCATTGGTGAAACATTCAAGGAATTTCTCCTTTGTTTGACTCCTCACGCTAAGCATGAACGGGGCCCCGCGCGAATGCCGAAAGTTCCCGTCAGCGTTTTGCGCCAAAATTTTGCTTAGGGTCGGCTGCACGCTTCATCTAGTTATAAAAGCGTTTCCATAAACTAGCATCAACAATGATTAAATGTAAGAACTTGTTAATCTGTGTCTAATTGCGATTCTTTTAAACCGATCAAAACCTCGATGTTCATGATTTCCGTGTTCCTGTCCTATAATTTATAACGATCCTTTAACTATTAGTTTTACCCCTGCTTGAGGGGATTTCGTTCTTCTTGGTAGCACGATGGCAAAACGAAACATTGCTCAGTTGTTTGATAAATTATCTGAGCAATTTTAATGTTCTGAAGGATCAGAAGTTGTTTTGTCGTGAATGAAAGCGATGCCTCCGTTACCTCACAGCGTTTGCTCGGTTTAAATTCCATCGTACTAGCTGCCTAAATCCGGAAATTCAAACATTTTTAATTAAGGACGTAAAATAAGGGTAGCTCTTAAATAAATAAATAATTAATTAATTAATTGAATGATTTGACGCCAAATTTGAGTTGCTTTTTTTAGCGAATGCTTTCAGTTGTCAGTCAGTGAAACGAATTTATAAAATGGTTCGACCTGCATACTTTTCACTTAATTGAATTCACATATGTCTGGCCAACCGACAGTTGAATAGTGCACCCTGCCGCGAAATACAAGTAAAATTTGGCTGTATTGACTTGAGGGAGGGAGTGTTTATAGTCACTTCAATGGTGCCAAGTGCAAGCTGGGTCACGAAGAGCCTCATCTGGTTCAACAAATGAAAATCATACGGGCATGCGCTGTAATGAAACCTGACAATGAAACAACTTAAACTACTGATGACTTTTACAAGACTGGTGTATTTTCCTAGCTACTTTTGTAGCCGCATGTTTCTCAATTCTTCCAGCAATCAAAAAACGAAGATGCCAAAAAGATTATCGCAGTTAGATAAATTTCACTATCGACTGCCCACCGGGAAATATTGCTGCTAAAATGCGCGTAGGTGATGGGACGAAGAGGATATTCACCATGGGAAGTGCCCAAACCTATTTCCTATCGACCGAGAAAGCGTGTGATCACATTGATTAAGATGTTATCAAGCGTAGCTCGTTGATAAGTCAGGCTGCAGGGTGAAACGGTATTTGTTTATACGACTCTCGCCCAATTCCGTGTAAGTTACACGGATCTGATAAAGAGCAGATATAAAGGTGCAGTCTGCAGAGTGTCAGACGGATTCACGCAACCCAACTTCAACTCCGATCCATCGACACTACTTGTAGAGCTGTAACGAGCAAGATTACCTCACTATTGACCAGGAGATAAAGAGGATAAAACGACAACTGGAAAGCAAGCTTTACAGGCTGGTAAATAGCAATTTCTTCATTTACTATTTCTTCAGTTACTGTCATTGTTTCGTAATATTTCGTTTTCGCGGGTTTTGCAAAGCAGGGAAGTGATGACTTCTAGAAAACCCTCTGAACTATCCGATAGCGAGCTCAGCTCTACATAGATAGATGTGTGCGGCTAAGAACAAATACGGGATTATCCGTTTTTGCCCGCGGGAGAAACACTTCATTTCAAGAGGTGTCAGGCAAGAACATCGTTCGAAGCACGCAAAAATCTTCTTAATCCCCGTCGAAAGTGAAAACCGAGAACACCCGTACGATTTTCGTGGCTGTGTCGTCATTTTCAATGTACCTTTCGTGAAACAATCTCGCGCGTTTTAGCAATGTTGCACGACGTGGAACCATTTCCCCAACTTAGTTGTTGTTTTAAAACAATCGGAAATCGAAGCTTTTAGCAGGGTATTAAATGATTTAGCGCCTCGAATTTCCGTTATCTAATGAGAGTCACTCTTGATTTTACAGTCACTGGAAATTTCTTTCAAAAAACTGCGTTGTTTCAAACAAGCTTGCATAGTAGGAACATTTGATTCATCACTGCCTTTCGATTTTACTTAGTTACCTATTATTTAGGATTTGTCTGATAAACACACAAAAAATTGTATCTTAGATTTAGTTATCGTTTTACGTTTCGACCTCTCTGTGTTTTTACTTTGATTATTTGTGATTGCATTTTTTTTCTGATCTTGATAACTTATATATTTTGAGCCAAATTCCCCATGATGCCTTTCCTAATTAACCAAAAGATTTAAAAACAATTTCCATGTTATTTTAGGAAAGTTTGTGGTCTATTCTCACTGTGTGTCGGTCTGATTTCAAACTAGCTAAGACTGCCTAACAGTTGGATGTAAATATCAATTTGTTTACTAACGAATTATTAAATATTGCATCATGAGCTGTCCTCGGAACGTTCGTATTTCATAATAACTCCAAACAATTCGCTATAAATACTCACTGTTGTCCTTTGTAATAACAACAACAATTTATTCACACAGGTTGAGAAAAAAAATAACACATGTAATAAAGTAAATAACAGTCAATCGCCGCAGTTCTTGTTTTAAAGAAAATTTATTGTTCTGTATTAAGTGTCTACCGAAAAAACCGCCATCTAAATTGCCTGGTTGCTAGCAATGCATCTGATAAAATTCCCTGTAGGATTCTGAACATTCATGTGCCCTAAATCCAATTGCAACAATACCAATTAATGGATTTTATCAGAAGAGAGAAATATAATAACGTAAAGTTTCACGAACATTTAACTCTTGACCTTTTTCACACTGTGTTGAGTGAACACTTTAATGGGTACGATTATGTTTTGATAATCTCACGAAACGAGCCGAATAATGTTTTCATTTCAGACCAAATGTCCAAGGGCATGTTTATCGAGTCCACTGCACCAGTTCGCGATATCTTGGGTTTTGTTTCGAGATCTTTCCTTCTTTTCGTGTCGTGGGTTATACAAAAGGCCGATACAGAGACAATTATGGGACATGTGTGTCTTATTTATAGTCGACACTGAATTCGACGCCCCCATAATCAAAACAAACTTGACAGAACTTGGAAAATTCAATTTAGGCTGCATTGAGGTATTAGATGACGATTGTTTTCGTGGCAGTGTTTGTCATAGCTATATGTTAACCTTATATCATCGAAGGACCTTTCAAGACCTCTAAACACGCGAGACACCAGTTTTACCAAATTCCAAGCGAAAGAAAAGCAGAACTGAGAGTTGTAAGTCTTTGAGTGTATTTTTTCTTTTTCGGAGAACTGACCCCCGTATCGTGAACCTTCGCAATCACTTTAGGTAGAAGCCTGAATTGGATTTCTAGAATCTCTTCTGTGTCATGTATCAGCTAGAGATCCAATTAAAAGGAGTTTCCAACATCTCAATGTTTAACCAAAGTCGAATACTGAGAAACTGTTGAAAAAAGTTTCTCTTTTTCGACGGTACACTTCATGTTGGACAAAGCAACTTGTTTGCTCAATCTGCCATCTACAGAGCATTTATTTGCATATTAATCTGTAGGATCTGAACATGATATGGCTAAACTTACACTATACTTTATTGAGTTTGCTCGGGCCCAATGATCCACTAGGGCGGTTTTCTTTAACACTGTGCTTCCTTAAATATACCGTTGTTTCGTATTGATCCAGGAATGCAAAACTCGTATTTCCCTAAACAACGTCACACCGTGACATTCATCTGATACCCAGACAGACCAACACATTATTTCTCCCTAAAGGTCATCACATTGCATACGAGCAGACATGAAGGTTAAGAGAATAAGGTGTGTCATCAGCTAGGAAAAAAACGACCGGTTTTACGTCCTAACCAAACTTCAGGGCAATGATGTTGACAATAGAAATGTGGTATTCAGTAATCAATTAATCTTGCGAGCTTAGTCTAATGTAAATCCTCAGTATAAAGAAGACGTGATACTTTTAAATTTAAACCGGAGATATCTTTGGTTTTCCTGGGCTGGGCAATTTAATCCTGGTGTTGGTTTGCATTCTTTCAGAAAATCGGCACATAAGGTAATTTAAAAAGAGACTTTCTCTTATAACTATTCCCTTCAGCACAGTGCGAAGCTATGTCTTGCCCACTCAGTTGTTTTTCTAATAAAAATAGAAAACCAATCAACTGAAACAACATTTTACTGAAGAATGTGATTGATAATTCGCAGCTTTTCACGCAACCACCAACTTAAATAGAACAATACAGGAGAATCTCTTTAAGCTAACTTCATATGGCTAATAAAAGTTAGCCCACGAAGTTTCTTCAAAGTTTTAGACATTTCACATTCCACATTTTAGCTAGCTCAGGCACTATGGCAGTGTAGAAACAATTCAGAAGTTATGATTGTGAAAGACTAATACTTGTCGACTTCCTAAGAGGTAAATTATTTACTTCCAATCTATCACTATTCTTAATTTTCATTCACAAGTACGTTGTTATAGTTTTGCATCATTCGTCACTAGTTAACGATTTTCAGGCTCCAACGTTAGAACTTCAATCTGCCTGATTCACAGATACCTTGTTATTGTGGACATTTCACTTGGCGACTAAATTGTGTATCTAAATGGGATGGATATATTAACGATGAAGGAGGCTTGTGTCTCACTGAGTGATTCATAGCCAACTCGCCCAAACTAGACTTTTTTTACTATGGAAACTAAGGTTAAAGTAAACCTCTTCAGATCTTAATCTTCAGCTCGAACTATGTCATATTGAAGTTTCAGTTCAGTATCAACGAAAAATATTTTCATGGTGTAAGCTCTAACGATTCGGAGTATACTATACTGGCTGTTGTTCTCTACTTGGTACATGCAATCAGTGTTCACGCTACAAGTCACTTCTACCAAAAGGTGGCTCGAGAGGAATGCAGAGCCACTTTCGTTTTGCAGGCTGCATTTTAACAATAAAAAGCAACAACTTGGCTTACACTGCGCCATAAAATAGACTTACTTCAGATAAAAGAATGGGAGCAAAAGCCTTTTGACATAACATGTTTCACATCAAGATTCATCGCTAGTTATCTCGCTTGGAGCTTAAGCCATAAGATGCCACTGAGAATTCATGTCAAAACAATACCTGTGATGTTGTGAAAAAAAATCCAGGGAAATTTCTAGTATTTCAAACACACTTGTGAAATCTGAATAACATCCTCAGTAATGTCTGAGAATCAATTAAATTTAGACGTTTTCACAAAGACCATTCCAAGACAAGAATGATACAGCACCTGAAGTCGAGACATCAGTTCCGGTGTCGAGACTTGATAGCCCAAGCTGTTGTGCAGATATATCGCTAAATGTCTAACGGGTTATTTGTTGTGAACGAACTCCTTAAATAACTAACGGCTTTAGCATTTTGGGCAATGACGCATGAACATTCCTTTGAGTGATTACCGATTATTAGTGTTTTTTTTTTTTTTTTTTAAAAAAAAGTTCAAACTATCGCGTTCCTAATCGCCCTTTTACACTAGTGTCAGTGCCGTGTAAGTGTGCAAACTTTTGTCATTAACTTATGTTAGGTATTTACTTAAGGTGGCGTAGGGGTTTGCGGTCATTATTTTGAAAAGATTCCTGAACCGTGACAACTGATACCATGCGAAATGTTTTCCTGAACCGTGACAACTGATACCAATATGCGAAGTCTTTGTGGGCTCCGGACAGGATAGATCGAACCTCCTTTAAATCTAATGACTAGTAATAGTTAACCGCACTAAATCTTCCCCCGCTTTCTTTTATTTCTGCTGATTGAAAACAATAATATTGAACATTTTTGTATGAACTGAAAATTTTTCTTTTTTTTTTTTGTTAACTGTATCACTAATACTGTTCCAGTAACTTAGGCATCCTAACATGAATATGATCCAAACAATCTACTAAGTCAAACTAAACCAACACATTCTGTTTAACTCATTCTATCACACGATATTATTTACATAATACTCTCACGAAGCATTTACAGCAGATCAGTTTACCATATCTCGTTAGAAAGGACGCAAAAAGTACTTTCTGGAAAAAAAAAATTGGTTGCCTTCATGGAAACTAATATTTCTTTTACAAACATTTCACTCAGTAGACCTTTATAGGGGAAAAAAAGTTAAAAAATTATAGCGAAACATAAAATTAAGTCAAACTACTCTGCTGTTCCAATTTGATGTGACCATTTGTCTTGATATACGAGCAAACGTATCTCGAAAGCAGAACGGAAGTCGAGTTTTTATTCCGAGACGTAAATACAGTCACCTTATCTGCAAATTAGAGTCAAGCTTTTTGACCTCAACGAAAACGCTGCAAAACATTAACATTTACATTTGGAACCCTGCAAAGTCACCCAGCCCACACATGAGCTCTACGCCACGTAGGATTACTCGATACAAATAAGCGACCCGAATAAACGAGATGCCAAAGGTAAAACTGGCTATCGGAAGGGTATTTACCTGCTATTTAGTTGCAATTGCACCACACTGGGCTCGAATTTCTAGTATACTTCAGAATCTCTCACGATACGTTCTGAGTTGTTTTTCTCCCAAAATCCATCATCAGGATCTTTGAAATCGTTTTCAATTTGTCCTAGATGAGAATCTCGGTCATTTCGAAGTAAATTTATTTGATCGCGCTAAAATCGTCATGCCGGCCATATTGTAATTGGAGTGTATTTTTGACCTTGAATTGGTGCTTGAAGATGCCGAAACGCTAACTCGTGGTTACGAGAACCTTAAAATGCTGCCAGAAGATGGCGACCCGAGACCACCGTGCACGCGCCTAGTTTAGAAAAATCGAGAAAACTTCCCATACTACCAACTCATTTCTTACGTTTTTGAAATTCCTTGTATCTTTACACGCGGGGACTTCTAGGGTGCCTCCTCGGGTTTTTGGCCTCTGTGCCAAAACCCTGCGGGGCAATAATGACTTTTTCAAAGTTATTTTTTCTTTTAGATTTATTGTAATTTTACCCTCGGTGACTCGAACCCTTGAAAAGTCGATCCTCTCGCTAACTCGCACATACAAGCCCCTGTTTACATGTATTTCATTCCTTCAGTCACGGACCGTGTCGACATCATAACACAAAATTACTCATCCCGAGGGAGACAGTAAGTTTTGTATTCCCGTGAACCTCGACGTTTTCATCGAGGGAAACCTCGTCTGCGTTTATTTAGAGTCATCTACTGATAACTCGAACTCCCAATAACTCAGTCCTTTCTTTATTTCCCTTGAACGTTCAAGTTATCGTCAGTCAACTGTATTTTAAAATTCGACATTACTGTAAAAAGGCTGTTTCCGTCTTTGGCTTTGGTAAATAGTTGATCTGCTCGCCACTGGCAAATCACGATATTTTGCTCGTCCAATAATTGTTAAACGTTACGTTCCCCTACTCGCCTCCGCAGAGGTTCCAACGTTCATTACATAAATCCGCTGTGCGAAGTGAGTGCAGGTGAGTGCAGGCGCAATCCAGGTCGTAACCCTGCGCTTGCACTCATATCGTTCAGCGGATTCTTCTTACCCGAAAAAAAAAAACCTTTAACCTCTGCGGAGGAGAGACACGTTCCCGAACGGAAGGATTTTCCTGTAAACACTAAACTGCCAATAAACAGCAAACAGATCAATGGAAGCAATTTTTTTCAGATATTGAGTGTGATAAATAATTACGTCTCTTTTTCTATTTGATCCGTTTTTATTTTTATTTTATTTTAGTTTTCTGTATTTTCGGGGCGTTTGTAGTTAAACAATTATTCAACTCTCGCTTGTTGGATATGAGATGATTATAACCAACTCGGTGCTACGCTCCTCGCTGCCTATCTACCATCTTAGGGCCTGTTTACATAGAGGGAGGGTGCCCCGGCTGACCGGGCTACCCGGCTAACCGAGCTACCCTGGGAGGGCTAACTACTCATAGATTTCTTTTGAAAACGCATTGAAGCGTTTACGTGCTAGACAGGGTAGCCCGCCTACCCGGGGAATCCGGCTAGGCAGGATAACTTTTTACCATGTAAACGGTTCGTGCCGGGCTATCGCGGTTAGCCGAGGTGAGATAAACCGCGAAAACATGGCGGCGCGAGGTGAATTTTTTCTTAGTTTCCATTAACAACAGTCCTGTACAATGAAAAGATGCCGCTAGCGGAATGAGCGATAAAAAAATTTAAACTTGCGACCGAAAAGTTTCTTTGGTCGGCCATTTTGTTTGTTGTGCTTAGCGGCCGCTCAAAAGATAGCCCACGCAGCCCTCTCACTGTCCCGGTTAGGTGAGTTGCATGTAAAGGCGGGCTATGTGTCAACCCTTCTAGCCGGGTAGCCCGGTTAGCCGGGGCACCCTCCCTCCATGTAAACAGGCCCTTATATCCAACGCACATTCGTGGATTAATTGCTAACAAGCCCAGGATTTTGGTCAAATAAGGTAGTGACGAACAGATGATGGTTATTTCTTAACCATTTAATCAAAATATCATTTGTTTCTGTTTCATAAAGCTTTTATTGGATTATAAAGTTGCAAATGTAACAATCAATAGTCCAGTTTCGAATTCGCCATGACCGCTGATTAAAAGCACTGAGAACGCATTTGCACAGGGTTAGCCTCGACCTAAAGTAAAATATACACAAATTCCAGCGAGAAGATGACCTGTTTACAGCTCTGTGTATTGTTTAATTTTCAAATTTGTGGCACCTTCCCACCGGTATTTGCGAATATTTTTTAGGTCGAGGCTAACCCTGACATTTCCTGCTAACAAAGTCAATGACACAGCGAAATGGGACCGTGGATTCTTGTGCTTTCATGGTCTTCCCTTTATGTCTACTGCAGCTAAGCCAAGAAATTAATCCAGCTGTATATGTTGTAACCAATTATTGGATGAGGTTTTCGTGATATCCAGAATAATCAAGGTCGAGGTAGGGGTTATCAGCCGAAGCTGAAGGCTGGGGCTGATAACCCTTATCGAGATCTTGATTATTCTGGATATCACGAAAACTGAATCTAATAATTGTTTTATTATACATTGAACGAAAAAAGAAATGTAAGTCATGTTTTTGTTTCTTCACTGACGGCAAGCAACACAAAGTTCGCGAACTTGACATGATTACCCTTAGAAATCATGCACCGCGGTCATACATGACATGATTACCCGTGACATTGAGTGTTCTTGACTTGATTATTGTATAATCAGCAGCTAGATGACGTCAGAGGCGCTGATTTCGAAAATTCATTGTACGCTTTCGGCCAATCAGAAAAGAGATAGTGAGTTCAATGTATAATAATAAAAATTTTTGGATTATTGGTAGTATATATCATTTACTAGAAAAACTACTTATATCTTGACCTGCGAACACAGCAACAGTTATAGGGTAATCAAAAGTAACTCGGGATAAATTAAACATGGTAAAGTTATTATTCCATCCCTCTTTGGCTTTTCAAAAACACATTGAAACTTCCCTCACTGGAACAGAGTAAACATAAAGACGAAAGCAACCTTGAGAAACATTGTCATGGTAATTTTATGGCTAGCACCGCTGGACACTTTGGTATCAAACTTTACTTGCGCCAGTTTAGGATAGTAATCATTCCAGAAAGCCATTCGGCGAGGAGCAAACTCCGCCGCCATCTTGGGATGAACATCAACTCGCAAGTAAGCTCTGTGACTGCTGTTGTACCTCTCCCACGTAACACCGCTGACTGGTTGTGGTGTTGGATCGCCGTTCTTGGCGAAGTTTGAGTACATTCGTATGATAAACAGGCTGACATTTCTGTCGCCTGCGTCAAAATCTGACGAAAGACCAGGGTAGAAAGGGTGTCCAAAGTCGTAGGGCACGTTATCAGCATGGACCACACCCATCCACTCCTTGTTCTTATTTCCTATCGTTCTGCGATGTGCGAACTCGTACATGTACACAGGAGCGACTTTGCTGTGAATATCAGCAACCTCGTGACTTGGTGCAAAGTAAATGTAATCACCGATGAGGTCCACAAGTTGGCTTCTCAGTGCGTATTTGTCGTTTTTGTCAGGCCATGGTGTGTACATAAACTGCAACGCCTCCGCGATTAGGTCGGCGTTGTCTTCTCTAAAAGGCGAAGAATTTGTTAACTTGTTAACTTGTTTGACAGAAATGAAACCTGCTTCTTTACCAAGGGAGAGAAGCGAATCAGGTATTCTGTCTGCTCTATCATTTAAGGTAGGTAAATAAGTCTTTATACGAGCCAAGTGCATCATCAGGCCGGAACCTATCCCAGTTTCAGTAGCATGAAGCGACAATAGGAGTATTTCTACTCCCCACTGGATTGTCCATCGCTGGGTTACATTCGCGCTACGTTCGCCGGTGCCCATATATACACCCGGGTGGAGAGGGGTACTGAGAGAGTAAAGTGTCTTGCCCAAGAATAAAACACAATGTCTCCGGCCAGGGCTCGAACCCGGACCGCGCAATCCGGAGGCGAGCGCACAAACCATGGGGCCATCACGTCTCCACGCTCTATCGTTTGGCCTAGCGGCTTATTTAACTGTTAAATCACTCAAGATAGAGAACACATCAACACCTATAGTCCATTCTAACAACGCGCGGATTGTTCTGAGCAGATGTAGAAGTTCTACTTATGATCACGGTTTTTTCTTACTTCAAAGCAAATTGCCACTCACCTGCTGTTGCGACCGTGGGCAAGCTTTGTTATAAATCCTTTAAAAAATGACGGACTCACTCCATCGTCCACACTTTCCGCCATCCCAAAAGACGAGTTCGCCATGAATCCAAGAGTTGTCCCTCCCTCCTGACTGTTAAAACTGATCATCAACTTCACTTTCTTAAAATCTCCTTTATTTCGTAAATTCTGAGGCGTATCGAGAAGAAAATTCTTGTCTACCACTGGCGCCCAGCGCAAATATTCATAGAACTGATAAGTTATCGAGTTGGAAGCATTCTGTATTTCCTCGCCTTTCTTACTGCGTATACAGGCAACCATTGCGCTGTGGTCGCTTGTAGTACAATCCAAGTTTTGAGCAAGCTCTTTAGCAAAACGGAGTCCAAAGGAAACCGGCTGAATTGCAAAGGGGCTCAAATCCACACCACTCTCTGCAATGGCTTGTTGAAAGAGACCCTTAGATAGAGGCGACANGCAAATGGTGCGCAACACACGTACAAATCGCGTGGCAGATTTACTATCATCAACAGAAGGTAAAGCACGTAGCGTTTTTTCCCTTTTTAACTCGTGAATTACAATAGGAAGTTAAGAGTTGTTGTCAGAGTGGTGACTATCGTTTCTATACAAAGAGGTGTCTCTCTTCCCGCCAAATTATCAAAGAGACGCGCTCAACGTGCGGGAGCGAACGACTTTTTCAAGGTTTCTCTCAGGAAAAAAGTAGTGGTAGTGTGTTTTTTTTTTTTTTTTTTTTTGCATATATTGACATAAATTGTAAAATGCCCACTAAGTTATCAACAGGTTTGAGCTGAGTTTTTATTGATCCAAGTTCCGATTTTTTAAACAACAGATTTTCAAATCATTGTTAGAATTTCAAGAAAAAAAAATCTTTTTTGCATAGGAGCAGGAAATTTCAATGTTGCGTGGACGAGAATAACTGAAACATCCGTTTCGTTAATCTCTGCGAATGTTTAGTTTCGAAAGACTGTAGAAAAAAAAAAAAACGTGAGCTTACACGTGAAAATTAACTTTTTTTCCAAGGATATTAAATTACAATTATCATTCTTGGCAAGCGTCTTTCCTGTTCGATAGAAAAACTGTGTAGAAATTACTGGAAATCGCGTGTGTGTAATGGAATTTTGCTGGATTATTTTACGACTTAAAAATTCAAAAGTCAGCTTGAAAGACTATCTCCAGTCAGTTTAAAGTTCATATATACGCCTTTATTTCCGGCTTAAAAGCTATTTGGCTGCCTGCATTTTTCTTTACGGCCATAAAAGCACCACGAACATTTAATTACTTTAAACATCACGAGGCGCTGCCACTTAAAAATATAGTGTTTACCAAATAAAGAAGAAGTACTTTAAGTTGAGCGGAGAGAGCAGTATTAATTTCGATTCCTTTCCGAATTAATTGGTCTGAAAGGGCGGAAAATTGATAGAGAATCATTCAGTGTCATAAGTACGTGCTTGAAGTCCCCATTATTTTTAAATATATTCCACAGAATTAGACAAGCTAAAATATCAAGCACCGCTCATTAGCGGCCACACATAGCAGGTAAGAAATATGCAGGTAGTCTGATAAGGATCAAATTGTCCTAAAACGGGTATATGTTTGCCTTGATGTTTGTAAATCTGTCAAGTATATTGCTCAAGTATTAATTTACTAAACAATTTATCTCAAAATCCATGCAATTATGAAATTGAAAAGGTCAAAACAGTAAATTTAAGCCGATTAATTTAACACAAGTTAGCCCTACTCCAAGGATGGCAAACTACCTTAAAGACCTCCCAAGGGTAAGTTAGGCTCCGGTTAAATTTGCATCCAGTTAGTGTACAAGGCGAAGGTTCATCGATGATATATATCGCATGGTTGTTTTATGAGTTACAGATGTTGTACACATAGACCTCACAGGTAAGTCCACATACTTGGCGCAGTATCTTTTATTGTTGCATTGTCACGTAAAAAAAAAAAAAAAAAAATATATATATATATATATATATATATAAAGCTGCCTTCTAGTCTTTGTTTGCTTCTTAGCATAGAATTGGTTTAACCCATTGAAAGTTTATATACTTAAGATCAGTTGTACTTATCAACAATGGGTTTTTTGTTTCCTTTCCATTAACATGTTTCCTCGGTTTGAGATGAGCCATCCTGCGGTTGTCCTGTTTCCGCCTTACAATTTTAACAGTGGATTTTAGAATAGCAAAGATCATTTCACAATGAACTCCTCTTCGTGTTTCAATTGTAAGCAGATAAAAAGTGTTATTTTACTTTTTGTTCCTACTTTTTGTAACCGCACTGAATCCTATCGGCTTCAATGAGATGACATAAGCCGATAAGTGACCTAAAGAATCTCTCCATAAAGTTGAAACGAGCTGAAGAAGAAGAAGAGTTGCACGTATTACACTTGTTACAAGTTAAGCAAAGTAACTTTCGTATTTTATTGCGTTTTGCTTAGTTGTTTATTTATTGTGCATCAGAATCGAAAGTGAATCTAACAGTCGTTCTTGTAAAACCTATTTAAACTAACTTTATGGCTCAGCTTTTAAATAAGATCACTGAAGAAGATCTTGTTAACCACGCCAAAAATCCCGTGAAGTTGGCTACAATTCAGCCGCTATGTCCCTTATAATTAGCTTGTAAATTATATCAGTTTAAGTCCTTCGATTTACGTAATTCCTTGGTAAAATCGCATTTTCTGATTTGACAATGGAAATGCTTGCACGCGTACATGTTTGTTGTGGTCCTTATCACGAGCAATAAGGTAAATTATTGTCGAGTTGATGGTTTTTGAGGTGAATTTCCTCCCCCTCAGCGGTCTTTTTGAACGATTCATTTGTATCAAGCGACTGACGTTCGCGGCAACAATAAGAAAGAAACTTTTAGTGAAAAACGATTTAACAAGAAAGAGTTAACATGTAATTTAAAGTACTTCCTTCCGAGCAACAAAGCACATTGCATAAAATTTTATTGTTTTCACCAATGTGTTAATCTAGGTGTTTGTGGTTAGCCAATTCTAAAGGAGCCGAAGAACGCCAGAACAGTGGAGGCAATAACAACTTTTTGAAACATTGCGAACTCTTAAACTTCTCGGAAACCTATCAGTTGTTATTTTCCAGTTTTCTTGGTTTGCACTGCATTGACCTGCTGTAGCAAATATTAGGAAAATTACTTCTTATTCGTGTATGCCTTTGCTTTTGTAAATGTACATTTATTGTACTCTTATATTGGGAAAAAAGGACTAGTCTCGGACACGTTTTTCGATCCTTGTTCAAAGTTTACCCCTTTAACCTCTTCTTGAGTACTGCTTTGTTTTTCCTTTTTGAATAGCATGTCATGCGCACAGGAATTAATAAATATCTCCTCTTCTGAATTTCTGGTCTTTAATCTGTCGGTTCTCTTTTATGCCGGTTGTTGATGTCTCTGGAAATAACAGGAAGTTCATTATTGGGTAATCCCTGGCGCTATGTGTAGATTGCTGTAATGTTATAAGCGTTTCATATATCGTCGATTGTATCTTAAGAGATCTGCACTTTTCATTTTGACACCACTTGTATGTGAAGAGCTGCAGCTAAAGAGCTCCGATCACTCTTGATCGCAAGAGCGCTTAAAGTCTTTTTGCCAGACGATTGGTTGGCTAGGAAATCCTCGCGGTCCTAATTAGTCAAGGTAAGCATGTGTTTTACTGGAGTTAGTCCAGAACTAATACTTAACGTTTTTTCTTGCCTTTCTATTTGGTTGCTCTTTTTGGCCAAACAACCCTAATAAGAGCCGTGCTTAGCGTCACTTCTCTAGCACGTCTTTCTCCTTCAAACCATACTCCAGAGATCACAGAAACAAATAAGTAAGCTTAAGACAGGAAATATCTTGTTATGAATTAACCCGACGATAAATACTATGGCCACTTTACTCTGCAAAAGATTGATTTTACAATAGATGTAATATATCATACGCGAGAGACAGTGTTTCATCGGGATATCCAAACACCGAGAAGAGAGTTGAAAATAAGACGCGCAGCGGAGTATTTTTTACGAAATTCGAGGTGATTTTATAGTCGATGAAACACTGTCTCGAGTATTTGATATATCTTCTCAGTCGAAACAAGAACTAAGTAGTAAATGGACAAGTAAAATCGTCAAAATCTATGCCAATTAAGACCGGGTATCTAAACCTCCTTCACGGTTGTGATTTTCCTTGTTTTAACTTGATGAATTATTAATGAGTTTGAAAAGTTTGTGATGAAATCTTTTACCGTGAAAGAATTTGCCATCAGAATTTGTCAGTTGCAGTCAACAGCCATTGATTAGTACACGTCAGAAAAATGAGACTTTGCGAAATGATTGATGCCTAGCAGTCTGAGTCAGGACATTTTTTTTTTCCATTTTCGCAAACGTTAGGAACCGGTTATCCAACATCCGCTGTAAAAAAAAATTCAATTAATTTGTACCAAACCCTTATAATTTCACGGTTAAAGTCTACGCGCATACCTAGTCGATGCCTAGGGCCCCATTTATGTGGTCTCGGGTACCCGAGACAACCCTTCCCCCGAGGCAGCTTTAACGAGCGTTTATATGTGAAAACGTAGTCCCTGTAGGCCGAGTCAAAGTTGACCCCGCTCGATTATTCATAAATAACCCTTATTGAATAATCAAATGTGCAAATATTCCTCTTTGAGTTTCCCTCGGTCATTCGATCACAGTGGGTTTTGCCGAGTTAATTTTCTCTTCTTTGATACAAATTTCTGCTTTTAAACCTAAATCTAGGCATTACGTGACACTCGCCACGCCGATTAGACGAACCAAACTGTTTTATACATGAAGAAAAGTTGTCTCGCCTGCCAGGGTTATTCTAGCTGCCAAGGCGAGAACCCGAGTTGTCTCGCTCCCCGAGGCGGGTTCGCGATCCTCATGTAAACGGTTGTTTGAGTTTTGCAAAGAAATAAGTTAAAGGTCACCTCGGCCAGGGTAACTCGGGGAAAGGGTTGTCTCGGCTAACCGAGACCATATAAATGGGGCCTAAGATTCCACGTGGACCATTTCGAGAAGTGGGCAATCGGTGGACTCACGAACGTTTTATGTTTCCCCTTCGCACTATGTACTTTCCCCTGACCTACAGTTATGTACAACTATGAAAAAAAAGCATGTACTAACTCTGAAAAAAAGCATTTCCTGCGTCTCAGCTTGTGTTCCTACCCTTTTTGTGTGATATGGGACAGGATTGTAGAACAAAAAGCCGCAATTTATCGCGGACTTGGGATCGTTTTCGTCTGATCAACATCAGTTAAACTCGGTGAATCTTTCAGTATAAATCGAGTTTTAAAGGCGTATAGCATTGACACTAATTTGCAGTATTTTATTATCTTCTCTGTTGTTCTTAAATAAAGCGATTGTCGATTAAAAAACGTACACCTAGGAAGACTTAACTTATAATGCTGCCTGTACCTAATAAAGTCCGGCCATGCATTGAAAGAAAATCCTCTACCGGTGCAGTGCATACCGGCGATTATTTAAATTGTGTTGAAGGCTTTAGCCATGCATGGTGCCAATAAGTATCATATCAAATGGTAAAGGACATTCTGAAATGCTAAAAAGCACCCAAATCGCATTACTTCACAGGAAAGCAATTTCCAACGTTCAAAAAGTTGTGTCAGCAGTGGCTGAACGTAAAAGTGAAAAATAAAGGAAGATTGACCCTGCCAAATTTTCAACTCAATATTCTATCCCCTAAAATTGATCTAAACTGACTGCGCATGTGTATGGTTCATATTATATCATATAAACGTGACACTGACCACAAGTAAGGGTAATTGGCGCGCGCAAAGAGGTCTCAAATTTAGCTCATGGAGTCCATATTTTCTCCGCGGGAAACACATGAATAAAAGGCGAAAAGCACCATTTATTCTAAATGGACGTTGATGAATGTTTGCTTAATTTTGTTGAAAAAGGAAAAAACTCACTTTGAAATGAGGAAAATGCCGGGGAGGCAAAATACACGCAATCAATCTGAATATGTCACGACAAACCGCGACGTACTTTTCCTGAAGAGAAGTTTGCTAATGCGAGAAGAAATCGCTATAAGGCAGTGGTCGGGCTTGAAATAACTTCAGTAACGCACGATTAAGCAGGAAGTCCCATGTAAATCCGTGTCATATGGAAAAAAAACTCGCTAAAACGAGTGTTCCTATTTACGGACTTGATGATTTCCCAGACCTATTTAATCTGTTTGCTAAATTTAGGCCGGGCTTAAACGTTGAACTTGCCATGAGCCAATATTAGCCGATTCAAGTTAACAAAAGTAGGCCCGCTAATTCATGCGTAGACGTTATAAACGGGACTCTACTCAGTAACAGTCTCACTGAACTGATTTAAACGCCGAACTTGTCCTGTACATATTTCAAGGTGTTCGCCGGCTCGACCCAAGAAAAGTTTGGCGTCTGAACTGGTCCAGTTTCGACTTCTATGAACATATACAGCGCCGGTTAAACACCAACATTCATTATTCAACCTGCGTTCAAAGGTTTAATATTTCCGTTGTTCTTCCGTGTACGTGCGAGACTATTGATGACATATTTCTAAATTTCCTTTTTTGATATGGCGATAATAAATCCTTAATATCGCTCGTTATCGACAATTTGTTCTTTTCCTCTGTTCGTTGAGGAACGAACAGAGGACAACACTCCTCATTCAACTTGCGTTCAAAGGATTGACATTTCCGTTGTTCTTCCGTGTACGTGCAAGACTATTGATGACATATTTTGAAATTTCCTTTTTTTGATATGGCGATAATATCGACAATTTGTTCTTTTCCTCTGTTCGTTGATAACAGAGTGTTAATTCTGTGGTTTATCAGCAATTTACAGTTTTCCTATTCTATCCGCGTCCGCGCATTTTAAAGTTAACACTTCCCTTATGGGTGTCCGTCCCTTCCCCTTTGGGTGCGATGTAAAAATTTCTTATGTCATGCCGATCGGGAATTGCGCCTCAGTCTTCTCTGCTCTAAAAACGTGAGTTTGTGCGCAGCTAGTGGGCATTTCCTCTAACCACTTCTGGAATATCATGGTCATCATGACGCTCTGTGTCTTGATAAAAAGCGAACTCGAAATCGAGGCTCGATTTCGAGTTCGCCTTTTATCGAATGTAAACACGACGTAGTCATGTGACGCAGGACAACAAGGCTAGTCACAGGTTAATTTAAAACGCATCTTACACTTTGCAATAAATTATTACTGATACGGTGAACAATATTTTTTTTGGCTCTATCACTAAAGCGAAACGTCCTTTACATTTCAAGGAATTCTGTAACTTTTAGCTAGTTGAAAATCCAGAACCCCGCACTCTGTTTTCAAAAACACCCGAGCCCAAGATCCCAACGATGGAAAATATATAGACCTCTGGTACAATAATCAGTCTAAATGAAAGTGCAGTTTGCGCTACAGGTTTAGTAATATGATAATAACAGCACCAATTTGCGGCAGCAGTAATATTCTTCATTTTCTTGTTTATTCTACTCTGCCGCAATTCTTGCCCGGTTGTCAAGTGATAAAATAATATTTTCCCGCACGTGAGAACCAATAGCGAAGCGCGCGAGGGACGTCATAACTTAGACAAACAAAACGGAATGGTGGAAGATTTGACGCTTTTTCAAGCGCGTAAGCAGGTGTTACTAAAACAATTTTTAAAACGAAAATTCGGCGTTCATTTTCCTCCTATTTCTCTCAGAACAGGCTTATGTTTTCTGACTCTCGCGGGGTTCCAATAATTTGCATTCTATTTTTAGACTTCGCGCGCTTGGTTATTAGAAGTTCGTGTTGGGCATTACGTAACTTCTACAATTCGCGCCTTTTTTACGTGGCTCTACTGTTACTGCGGAAGTTCAAGACTTCAAAGACAGGGCTTTGCGATTTAACTGCGCATTTAATAGATCGTTTTTTGTTTGTTTACAGGAACCACAATTTGCAAGACCGATATATGAGATTAGATATGTGAATCTATGCTTAAAATTCTATCCTGTAAAGAAAATTTGATACAGCAATATATTTCTATAACCGTCTTTTATTACACTTCTATTGTCCGTGTTCTTTTAGATAAGAGCTTAATTATTAACTTATTTCGGAAGGCTTAAGGAAAATGTTTGGAATAGTTTTATTTTGTTGAACTTAATTTCACCAGATGTTTAACATATTTCTTGTTGTATTCAAAGAAAAACGTGCTGGAAAACTCAATACTAAGTAACCGCAAGAATTAAGAATTTATGAAAATGATGACTTAGAGCGGATCTACCGACATTAAACTCTCTGAACAAAAATAATTACGAAAAAGACGGAAGTCTTAGAAAACCGCTATAAAAATGGAATTGCTATCAACTTGCTTAGCTTTTCCGGTCTGTTAATTGTTTATTTACATAATGCGCACTGTGAGTTCGTAGTAATTACAGCAGTTAAGACCGTATTATTGTTTACAAACACGAACATTCCGTAAAACACTTTATTGATGTATAATAAGTCAGATACCAAGATTATCATACAGCGGGTTCACTAGCAAGCACAAAAGCACGATATTAACTGCTTAATAGAGGTTCTTCTTATTAAAAATCCCAAATAGATCTTAGTTCCCATCATCGCTTTTTATAAGAATGATATGTTTGGGTTTGTCTGGGTGTGATATCCCATGGGACGCGAAGGCGTTATAATCAACTGATGCGGGCTTACAATGAAATCGAGCTGAAAACAAGTCAATAAAAACTCGCGCGAGCAGACACAAAGTACATCAAGAGTGAAGCGAGTTACAATAGAGGAACACCTAAGATTTAAACCTTAGCAGCTTTGCACTAAGGTAGGATACAAATTCTTCTCAGTTTAACTTTTCTCCTGTGTTCCAGGCAGCTTTCTTAATTAAGAAGCTAGTACAGAGGTATTTGAACTCCCTAAAACTTCTATCAAAAGAGGGTCGGACGATGATTGGTTATACAGGGACAACAAAGTAATTGAAGTTCGCTTTAGCTAGTGCGGTACTGAGAAATGGATATCCCATAACAAAACTGTATTTCATAATAGTCAGGAAAAGAGTAATGTTGACCGTGTGAAATTACAATCCCAAAATTACGTTTACAACAAGATCGTTTGCGGTTTGTTTCGTCTTCCTTTTCCTTAAAGAATATCACAAAAAAAAAACAAAAAAAAAATCTCTTAACTTTTCAAAGTTGTTTTGCACCTGTTGAAGATTTTTCCTTCAAGTAACATTAAAATGATGCGAGTTAACCTGTTTGTCGTAGTTTTAATGTGCACTCCTGATCAGCGCTGTCAAACACGCAAGATAAGCCGACAAAGTGCGCAATCACTTATTATCGGCTTAATCTCTATTGAAAAGGGTCTGAGCCCTTCATAAACAATTTAGGTCAATAACTTATTTGCACGGGTAAATAAAACATTGATACCGTGCAAATACAATTTGGAATATGTGCAACATCATCTGAAAGACGCTGGTGTGTCTTTTTTTACTGTTTCTCCTTTGCTTTCAGTCAAACCAGTCTGCGTATTCCCGTTTAACCATGAGATAATTATCATATATTTTTGTCATGACTTGACAACTTTTTATTGTCCTTGAAAACAAAAACAATATTGTTAAAACGATACGACAACGAAGTGACAAATCAGCAATTATCTATTAACGCTGCTCTGAACTTTGACTCGTTAGAGCAACCTGTTGTTAGTTCTGAAGTCGTTCCTTCACTTTCCATTCCCAAAGAAAACACGTTCAAAACGTTTCGTCATGTTGCTCCAGTTGCGTTCCAGAAATATCGCCTTGACGCATGCAAATGTTTCTTTTCAATTAAGCTGCCTTCATCCCAATAACAGAAATTCATTGAGTTACAGTGCCGTCATTTCTGTCTACTTTATCAGGTGTTATAAGGCGGCAACACTTTGACAAGACCCGCCTAGGGGATTTTATAAGGAGGCCAGATTTTTCTTTTGTTCCACAAATTCTCGTGATAAACCTTTATTATTCTACTCTGGCAGATAAAGAGACCGCTCGCATAGCAGCTAAGATGGCAATTTTCAAGATGGTACCACTTTTCCACTTCTTGGTGGCGCTGGAATTTTTCTTCATCTCTCCTGTCACATCAAGTCAATGGCTGTAAGTAGCAACCCATTTTCTTGTAATTGAAATCAGTTGAAAATTGCTTGAAAGCGTTGTTTTCGAGTTTTCAGTGTTTGCTGTGTTGTGTTGTCTGGTTTGCTACCGTCGGCAAAGGTATCATGCATGCATAATTATTTTTTACACACATCGCAAAGACTTTGCTGCTTGTTCCTCCATCGTCACACAGCTTACGGGCTTACTGATGCAACGAAATGATTCGCGCCTTGTAGTTTCAAGTATTCTGTTTGCTGAAATGTTCTAGGTTGTTTACTCCTTTGCAACATATTTTATTGCACCAGAAGCAGATTAAAAAATCGTTTGTCAACAATTCTTGAATCGCAGCAAAAAACAGCACTCCATTTAAATAGAATGAAGATCTCTATTAGACAATATTCTCGAAATAAGAGATTCTTTTTAATTATTTCCAGTCCGTAAATTCCTCTTTCATTAAATCTTGCAATGTTGGGATAGTTCATATAAATTATTTTTCGTCTGGAACTTTCATCTGCTAATTAATTCTTGTTGATGACTTCGTGCCTGGACGAGGCATTTTTAACGAGGGATTGCCTCAGCGAAACCTCAAGACTGCTAGCTGAGAACAAATTTAAATAATTTGAAAGATAATTTTCCAGATTATCGCTTAAAATGGCAACTTGTGGATTAAGAATGGAAAAATTAGAACGAGAAACAGACCGCAAAAGTTATACAATGTATCGAGAAGCCAGTTTTCCAGCTCTCAACATTTTCTTACAATTAAACTGCGCGCCCAGTTTGCAGTCAGTAGCCGACAGGTGCAATTTATTGGCGACGTAAATCAAAGTACGTACAAGCATCCCTGGAATTTCCGATACAGCTGAACAACTGTCTCGACGCGAACACAACTGGAAGGAGGCAGGACTGTCTCACTGGTCCTGGGTTCTCTGTAACTGACATCTCATTTAATAAGGCGAACGCTTCTGTAAAGCTGAAGGCTGGAGTCACTTCGGAAGATGTCCAGAGAGTTCATTGTATTCTGTATTCTATGTCTGTTTATATGTGTTGATAAGCTAAGGTTATACTGTATGGATCCGGGGGTACTCCCATATAAAAAGGACGGGGGTGCTCGTCGTACTTCTTGGGGTTGAAAAAGCAGTTTTGGTACCTCTTAGGGTGTTAAGTCTGGAACTTTGGTGGTACCTTTTAGGACAATGAGCCCAAAACATATGACAGCAGATAATGTGTTATGTAAGAATTAATACCTCTTAGGGGAGAAATCAATCTCAAGCCACGCCCACAAAACAAGATCTTGGTACCTTGGGGTTCTTTTCAAAATTTCCGACTAGCACCCCCTCTCTTTTTATATGGAAGCCTTTCCTCCTTCCCCCACCCCCTCTCCCCGCCCCCGGGGTATGGATCAGTGACACGTCCTTGTGCATATTATCGAGCACTTTTTTTAGTGGTTAAAAAGATCACTTCTTGCCGTGATTTAATCACAGAAAATTATACTAAACAACTACTTCCTTATGAGAAAGACTGAATCTTTTCTGTGCACGTGGCTATTTCATGTGTGTTTTTGGGGAGCGGGAGCAATAGATCTTTTTAGCTTGGGCGCTTTGTTGCCCCATTTCAGACCATGTGATTACATTCTTGAGAATTCTTGCTTTCACATTTTCAAATAGCAGAGCGTATATGTAAACAATAGCCATCTTTTCGAATATTTATCCGCGGACATTATCTGTTCTGAGAAGCGAATAGTTTACCGAGAGCGTAGCTCGAGGAAAACTGTGTGCTTTGAGGAACAGATAATGCCCAAGGACAAATATCCGAGCATATTTTAGCGCCAAATTGGGGCTGTTGTGTTTGGTAACCTTCAAATCGTTTTCGCAACACGCTCAATTTTGAAAATTGGGGAATATCACTAGGATATCACTAGCTTTAGCTTGGGCATATTCAGTCACGTGACGCGTTTAGACCAATCGCGCGCCAGCGAAAATAGTTGATGGATTATAAGGATGAATATATTTTAGATGATTATAAGAAGAATTCTCTAGAGTATATCACGTGGTATGTAATGGAAAACAAACCGCTCGAGCTAAAGAGATCTATTACTCTATTCTTCAACCGCTGTTTTCGAGAAAATTGTGCATGCGCTAGGGCCTGTTGAAATCATGAATTTTCGGACTTGTTCTTATGGTCAGTCTTCTTTCTGCCACCAGGAAAAAAATATAGAAACATGAAATGATTTATTTGTAGTATGATATTTCTAAAACTGAAAACTAACAATAACAGCAAGATACTGCGAGCGCTATGTTTGGTTGGAACCCAGTGCCCTGAAAGCTCAAAAATGTTTTCAAATGTTTGTTTTACAGAGGTAATGGAAGTTCGGAATACCAGCTATGAATGGGCCCTACAGCCCTTCTCATTCTCCCGCGGTAGTGGCAAGAAACCATGACGAGGTTTTTATGTAATAGGGCTTCCTAATTGAAGTATAGCATTTCTTTTTACGGTGGCTTGAAACATTCCCCAGCACTTTCCAAGACTTTGATTTTGACAAGTGACCTTGAAATTTCAAAAATTTAAAGTGGCTCTGAACCCCATGTGATTGTTTCTTTTGTTTGAGCGGCATACCGGGAAAAGAGCTTTGAGCTAAGTGCATGACCACTATAATAAGCCATGTATATATATATATATATATATATATATATATATATATATATATAGGCAATTGTGGAAAACGAGGACGGA